TCCTTCTTATACTCATCACAAGTACGCTTATATCGTTCATATACACACAAAGCATGTAACATTGCATCTCCTCCCGAAGTGAACGAAACTCATGTTGTGAACTAGACTGCATGGAGTTAGAGTATTTGGAAGTAGTTCTTTTGGAATCCCTCCTCTTAAGTGGCTCGTTCTCCAAGCATTCTTGATTATATGAGCGAGATGCAACTCCACTAGGTATGATTACGTGACCTGCAAAAAATGGCTAGCAAAGAAAAGAATTTCCTCACAACACACCCTCACTTGTTTGCACTCACGCTCGTGTATCACTCAAGTGTTTAGTTCACTCTATTGATCTCACCAATCATCTCTTAAGTTACTTGATTGCCTCTCTTGAAGAAATCTGAATTTTCTGAATGAGATTCAATCAAACTTTCACCAAGTTTTCTCACAAGGTGGTAGCGATTTAAAGCTGGAATTTTTGGAGTGAAATGGACTGAATAATAATTCAAAATAAGACACTAAGTATGCTGAAAAAAAACCAGATTTTGTCCACACAAGGTGACTCAATTTTTAAAAACTTTGGACTTTGACTAGCGACTCAAATTAGGAAACTAAGACTAGTTGGAATCCAAGACTGATGTGACTCCTTTTGGGACCTCTTAGACACGATTTATAGGTTGAAAAAGACTCAAAAGACACGAGTTTAATGGCTGGATAGATTACAAAACTCGATTAAGTAAGAAATAAAATAGCAGAAATTTGGAAGCCTAGAATTGCTCTCTTCGATTGTACCCTTGGCTGGAATTTTGGAAGTTGAACTCAATTGGTTCTTGGATTTATTTTGGAAGATAAGCTGCTGATTTTTGGAGTGATTTTTGTGCATAAGCAACTTGCAAAATCTAAATTGGATTAGTTATGTGATGACTAGGATTTGTTTACAATCCCAAGTCAACTTGGTTTCCCAAATCAGATTTCTTTCTTGGTTAAATCCAAAAGTGATCCGACTTCTTGTTTCTTTTTTTTTTCACAAAAACTCTTTCTTTCTTTTCTTTTCAATTTTAGATCAAACACTGAAGGAGAAGAATTCAAGCCACAACAAGAAACAAGAATCAACCGCTACTTTGTTCAAGAAATAGGAACTAGGGTTTTGCAATAATTTTCAAGATTTGGAAACTTTTGTTCAAGAATCCAAGAAACCCTAATTGTCCATCCAAAAACTTCAAGAAAGTTTCCAAAAATTCAAGAAATTCAACTTATCTTATCAAGAAATTTCAAGAACTTGAACATCTCCAAGAACAAGAATGGTTAGCCATGGATTAACTTCAAGAAACACGAGACGCAACACAATTGACAAGAAACACTAGGTTAAGCTTCAGATTTCCAAGAAAACAACGATCAGAAATTTTTTTTCGGTGAACAGTGCCATGAGCAGTAGTGATGAACAATATTTGTGAACAGTACTAATGAACAGTATGATTTTTTTCCCTCTAAGCGATTTCAAGACTCAAGACTCAAGAACAAGATCACAAGACATGATGCAACCAACAATTGATATTTGAGCAGCAAGGAAACACACGAACAGCAACTAGGGGATGCAGACAACAAATAATGATGGAAACAACAAGAACAACAAGGAAAAAAACCTAAACGACTTTACTAGGATAACACGACTAGATCTGACACAAGGAAAACTTACTTGACACGAACAAGATATACTTGAATTCATCAACTAGCTCTGATTACTAAGCTGATACGAACCAACCTAAAGGTTTGAACTCGTATCCCATGTAGTCTCAGATCTAGACGAAGAAATCAAATTGGAGTTTGGAAAAAAAACACTGACCCTTCTAAACCCTAGATTGCGAACCTTGAATTGAATCTCAACCCCACAATCAAATGGTTTAGTGAACCAATGTTAAAGGTAGAAGAACACCACAACTAAGGTGTATACTTGATTGATAAGTTCAAATTGAATAACTTAAGAAAACTCTCAAGTATTCAAGCAAAGCTCTCTTGGACGAGAGAAATGAATAAAACTCACAATTTTATTGTAAACTCTGACTTCCTCTAAACGTTTAAGTGGTTAGGTTATTTATAGCCTTACATAACTTGAAAACTTAATGTGATTTGGAATCACTTACTTGAAAATCTAATGCGATTTGGAATCACTTATTTGAGAACCTAATGTGATTTGAAATCACTTATTTGGCTAAAACACCAACTAAGTTTTGGCCTCTTGAAGACTAATTTTGGCTGAATATTTCAACAATTAAATTGACTATTAAAACCCTAACTAATGCTACTAATCAAACGACACAACTTCTAAGGGAATAACTTAACTAAATTAATTTGCTTCTAACTCTTCATGTGTTTGAATGGGGATTCGGATCTTCATGTTTTCATCAAAAGTAATGTGTCAGGAACCATTCTCATGGTAATATAAAAGAATTGGTAGATGATTACGTGGTTGCTTCTACGTTGGAAGGTGGGATGAGCCCAGTTGAGAGTGGTAACCAGCAAAGGTTATTATCATCTGAAGGAGCTAACAGCAAATACCAATATAAATTGGGTTGAGTTGTTACATGAATTAGTGAAACTGCAAATGCTGTACTAAGATAATAGTAAGGGCAAAATACCTATAAATATATATACCAAGAGATTGCTGATTGGACTCGTTTTAGTTAACTTGTGTCAAATTTGTTTATCCATGAACTGGAACAAGGAGCATTGGTACTTAATACTTATGTATCATAGATTGTTGTGTGTGTCAAGGTACTTAATCTTGTTGCATTTCGTTAAACTGGAACTGTTTATATATACATGCACTAATGAATGTTCACAAATCAAACAAAAGGCGCCAACACCCTAAAATCCAAATTTTAATATGCGGGCGCCAGTGTTTAAAATCCAAAATTTCAATTTAGAGTACAAATTTTTAAATTTCCATTAACCAAGCGCCAACTATAAACTCTTCGATTGAATATTACATGTCTCGCCAATAATAAGTAACTCCATTTGGATAGACTTAATTCCTAATATATTGTGTATATCTTTTCTTTTCATAGTAAATTAATATCTATTAAGATTAATGATTTCAAACTCTACAAAGATTAATTAGTGCATAAAAAAAAGCACTTACTTTTAAGAATAAATTTTGATTTATACTATAATTTGGTTATCCTTATCATTAGATAACGTTAATAGTTAAAAAAAAGCCTCAAAATTTGACACTACCTTACTCGTCAAGTTTGTGATTTATAATATATTATGTCCAATACGACTAGTTACGTAGTTAAGATTTAAGTTGATAACCATAGTTATTTCAACTATTGAAACGTTCAATTTTTGAAATATTTATATTATGTCATTTATATCTATAATTATTTTATCTACAGTCTCAATCCTAGTTTCTTAGAGTACTATGTTAATTATGCATATGAGTATTGAGTACCCATGAGGGGATGGTGTTGAGAAATATGACTTCTTTCAGGGTGGAGGGGACAAAAAAAAGGAAAGAAATAAAGAGATAGAAAAAACTCAAGTGCTCGACCTCCTAAAATTACTGAAAAAATTCACGTGCTCTTTCAGGGATAACTCAAGCCGATTGATCTTGTCATGCTCTTACTAGTGGGCCATTGGTATTGTGTGAGCTTCACCAGCCCAGTTACAACACCTAACGAACCCATCAAAGTTCCTTTAGGCTTTTGTCTTTTAACTCTCATATATTAAAGGGTTAAATGTAAAAAATCTCATAAATTATATATCCAATTGCAGTTTACCCCTAAACTATAATAATTGGCATTTTGCCCCTTTGAATGATATGGTTGGACAATATTACCCCTATTATCTTAAATTTTTTTATTTTTTCTCTATTAGCTTTTTCATTTTTCCCTTTTCTTTTTCCTTTTATTTTTTCTTTTTCTCTTTCTCTCGTGGAACTAGCCAATGTTTCCCTTCGCTGCGAAAAGACTTACATCAAAATTTTTAATATTTTTAAAACTACTTTTTAATTTGTTTATTTATTAAATTCATTCTTAATAATTTATCATAAACTCTTTGTTATTACAAAATATATGTAGCTTATATTGTAAAGTGTATTAATTTAGTAATTCAACAATTTAAGTACTTATAAACCAATTAAGAGTTCACAATTACTCAACTATTGATAACAAAAGTAACATATTATTTATCATATAAAAAAGAAAAGATAACAATTGTTATTTCAAAAAGATAAGATTAAACAACAACAATAATTCATTTTTTATTTGTTATTGATACTACATATCTATTTTGTTATTATATATTTGAATAGTTCAATTTCTTGAATGACATTGACTTCAACATTTTGAAAAAAAAAATCTTGTACTCCGTAGAATTTTTTTATAAATATTGACATATGAAATTAAGAAATAAACAAGTTTCAACTAATTTAGTATACTTATTTAAACAATGCTTAAAGAAAAAAAAAAGAATTTAAAAAGAAAATGATAGGGAAAAAAGAAAAATAACAATGTTTAAGATAAAAAGGGTAAATTTGTCCAACAATATCATGAAAGGGGGCAAAGTGCCTATAAATATAGTTTTGGGGGTAAATTGCAACAAGGTATATAGTCCATGAGGTTTTTTTTTCGTTTACTCGGGTGTTTGGATAGTAAATTATTTGAGATAATTTTATAAAAAAATATTGTGACACTTTTTTAATGTGATGTATATAATATAAAAAAGTAATTGAAGAATGTATTGATAATATAAGTAAGTCAGTGTGTGCAAATAAGGTGAAAATAATGCGTAATCCAAACACACTCTTCGTAATAGAAACCCCGGAGCAGTCTATTCTCTCTCCTCATTTCCAGATCGCCGAGCTGAAAATCACTGCGTTGGCGTGGCTCGGCACCAGCAGCAGCAATCGTGCACGTCTCTTTTTAGCGCAACTGTAAGCCTCGTTGCTCTCTCTCTCACACAGCCACACACTGAAATTCAAAAATCGTGTTATATGTTATGCGTTTTTTTCATTTAATTTATGTGATCGTTGTCTTTCTGAGTTTAATTATGCATATGTTTTGTTTGTGATATTGTTTTGGTGATTTACCTTGGCACGGTCATGGACTTCGACTATATACAAAATAACAAAACCTCTCATTAATTATTATCCCCTCAGTCCCTCCTTCGCAGCCATTGCCGCCCATTCCCCTCAGTTCTAATAACTACTCAACTAAACCCATCCTCTCTGTCTAAATCCTCCTAAAATTTTACCCAGCCCAGAATCCCAGATCGAGCTGATATCTTCGTCGGCAAGTGATCGGAGGTAAATCTTCATCTTTTTCTTGCTGATATCTTCGTCTTTGTTTTCCTTGTGCGCTTAAATTTTTTATAATTAGGAGGGAACGGGTCTGTGACGTCTGGCTCTGTTTCTGGTTCTAGGTTTCTGTCTCTGTTTTTGTTGGGTATCGCAAGTGAACTGAATTTCTGGTCTAGTAGCAAGTTAGAAGAGCATTTCTGTGGAAAGCACTGATTTTCCGTCGACTTCTCAGATTTTCCGTTAATTCTCTGCTTCCTCAAACGAGAAAAGGCTCAAGGTATTTCACTGCCAAATTTTGCTATTTTTTCTTCGTTCTTTCCCCTCATTTACTCGTGGATTATTCTTATTCAGGCCACTTTTGCTTTCACTTTTTTAACCTTTCTGTGTATTTAAATTTCACTGCTGATTTGTCCCCCTTTTATCCTGTTAGTCTGTTACAATTTTTGGTTTAGCTTTAATTCGAAATTAATCAAACAAAGGATAGTTGTTTGCGTGCATATAAGATGTTTGTGAAAAGCCTCAATGAAAATGTAAATACGAGAGCCTAATGGAACAAGAATTCTTTCCATGTCCTATGATATCGTTTATAAGCAGTTCCAACAACCATGGCTTTGTTTTAATTTTATTTAATGTTATTTACAATTGTATTATCGTAAATGAACATTTATGATAAATTGATTTCTTTCCTCGCGAGAAAAACGGGGTGGGGGCGGGACGGGGGGTGATCCTTCCCCCGCCCCATTGCCATCCCTAGTTATCCCAAGCCAAATTCCTAATTTGACACCCTGGACTTCACTCCACTCCAGCCCTAAATTTCTAAAATCTGTCGCTTTGTTTCCACCTTCTTGCCGCAGCCGATCTTTGTCGCCATTGCCGACGACACATCTGAAATCCCCAAGTAAGTTCCTACTGGAGAGTACAAGCTCTATACACCAATTTCCAGTCTCCTCTCCTATGCTTTGTCCAAAGAGTCCAAACCTGACTCCCTATATATTCTGAATCAATTCCTGCTGTCTTCTCCGGTTCTCCATCTGATCCCCGGCAGAGTTGCAGAAGTTGGGAAGGTTGGTTGAAAACAAGGGTTGGAGTGATCTTTGTTTAATCAAGTAAGTTAATGTTCTGCAACTGGCTAATTTGGTGCAAACTAAAATGTTCACTTTTTAAAGATAAATTTGCTTGTGCTACATAAATGCATCCTTTAAAAGTCAGAATTGCATTTTTGGGGTAAATGCTATCTAATTTTGATGTACAGATTCATTGAAGTATAAGAAGAAAGGGAAAAGCGTAAATGACCAGCAATGTGGAAGCAGTTACTAATTTAATTTCATGTGATCTATTTGTTAAATTTCAGGCAAAACACGTGCAAGAGCTTTATTGGGGACTTTTTCTTTAATTCTTTTATTTGAATTAATGGATTTCCTTTGTTGCTTTCTATGTGTTTGAGGAAATGTCAAAGTTACTGAAAATTTTGGGATGCACCTCTTTTGGTAACTCCATTGTTGCTTCCTGAGATATGCAGAAATCAGGATGGCTACTTTTAGTCTATACTTTTAGTTGGAATTGCAGAAACTAGATAACTACTTTTTTTTTAAAATTTTTTTGGCATAAGAATAGACACTAATTAGATTTTAGACGTTGAAGTTAAAAGCTACCTCTTATGTTGCTTGAAAGTTGAAATCAGTGTTCTAGATTGATATTTAGCATTCACTCATCACTTTCTTTTCTTTTTTTTTTTTTGGCATTCTTGTTTTTCTTTTTCTCTTTTGGCTTAACTGAGGTAGGACGGAAGTAGACTGCTAATTAAAAACTGGAAATTTGTCTTTCATATTTCAGCTGACTCTGTCACTCCTAACTCCTCCGCCGCTGCCGCCGCTGCCGCACCCTTCTCTCAAAAGCTTAGAAAAAAACGGCCATTTCAGTCAATGGCTTCCGTTGCAGCAAATCCCTCCTCCATTAAACAATCTGTGTTTCTATCTCCATCCTCTTTTCTCAGCTTCCAAACCAGCCCATTTAAAGGAAGCCAATCTTTCATCCAATTCAAAACCCCAGTTGATAACAAAACTTCCCTATCGATTAGGACGGTGTGGTGTTCGCAAAAATCCAGCGTGGCCCATGTCATCAACAATGATGCTCCGAAAAAGCCTACTGGAAATCCCATTATTGTAATTGATAATTATGATAGCTTCACTTACAATCTTTGCCAGGTCTGGCCATTTTTTTAGCATTTTTGGGTTTTCTTTTTGTGATTTATTTTCTCAATTTGCTAATTTTTTTTCCTGGGTTTCTGTTTTGAAGTATTTGGGAGAGCTCGGGTGTAAAATGGAGGTTTACCGGAATGATGAGCTGACGGTGGAGGAATTAAAGAAGTAAGCTTTATCTTGTTTCTTTGGGAGAAATTCTTGTATGCCAGGTTTAAGTGAAAAAACAGAAGGTACAACTGAGTGGTTGTACTTTTGCTATTGGTGTTTGCCCTTTTCAGGTGTATGAGGTCTGACTTGACGTTATTGATTTCCTTGTTTTTTATTTTGTTTTGCAATGTAATGATCCTTGGACTGCAGTAAGTTTTGTGTAATGACCAAATAGTCCCTCATTTCATGCATGTTTACATTTAACCGGGCCCTCTGTAGTTGCGTGATTTCATGCAGAAAGGGTATTCTTGATGAGGTCATTGTTTGCAAAAATTTTGCAAACATCACATCAATTGTTTAGAAAAGGCCAAGTAATTCTTTTATTTTGTTCATGATTTTTATAGGAAAAATCCAAGGGGGATTTTGATATCTCCAGGACCTGGTGAGACTAACTTTTATTCAATTTTTTTAAATTTTTGTTGGAATCTTTTTTTTTCCTCTAGTGAAACTTATCTATCATAATGATTGCTAATTTTTTTGCAATAACAGGAGAACCTCAAGATTCAGGAATATCATTGCAAACAGTATTGGAACTGGGGCCAAATGTACCATTATTTGGCGTGTGTATGGGGCTGCAGTGTATTGGGGAGGCTTTTGGAGGTATCTTTCAGTTCCTATAATAAACTGCTAGAGAATGTGTTTGAATGGTTTATCATTGGTTCAGAAGAATTTCTGCTAAGAAAATGCAGGGTTTTGATCTCGTACTAAACAAATTGAGATGGAGCAGTAACTTTTTTTTCTTTGTTCCATCCATGTCCAACTGAACAAGATGAAATATTTGGATCCATTGTTTGAATTCTCCAAACAATTATTGCAGTCATATGATAGAATTCCATTGATAGAATTCTCCAAAATCCTTACATGATACCTGTCAAGATGGCATAGTCAAAGTCATAATAGTGGTACATGCATTGTGAATTTGATGCTTGCAACCCCTAACGAATTTGGTACATTCTTGATCTGGCCAATCAGATAGTAAACCTTTGCCAGGACTCATTCAAGTTGATTAGACTCTATTTACCAAATAAATCAGCACCTTGGGTCATCCATGTGAGATTGAACTTGTCAGAATGCACACAACCGTAAGTTTTCTGAGATTCAACATGCTAGGCTATTCTTACAAGTAATATAATCACTGACTAGGCCAAGCATCATGGAATTCGTGAGTTTCTTCTCATGTTGAAAGCTTTTCCATGGCCCATTAACATTAAAGTAAGGATTAAGGACCAGTACTACGAGAAAGAATTTGATGGAGGGCACTATAATGGACTTGGATCTGACTCAACGATGTTATGTATCTTGCACAAAAAATGTAGCCATGTAAATTCTTATTTGTTATTTAAGCCTACAATGATTTTGCTATTCTTATTCATGTTTCAGCTTACGCTGCTGCTTTGGATTCTCTGGTAAAATTTGTTTTATGAGCAGGGAAAATCGTGCGCTCACCTTTTGGAGTGATGCATGGAAAAAGTTCTCTTGTGTACCATAATGAGGGTGAAGAAGAGGGTTTGTTAGCCGGCTTATCCAAGTGAGTTGTTTTGTTTATGACATGCACATAAGTGCTCTTGAACCAATTTCTGCATGTTTGGAGCTTGTTTATTGTCAATAATGGTCCCTGTCATGTTAATATGCAATTGTTAAAGCATTTAATCCTGAATATCTGGAAGTATCAGAGTTTTTCCATTACTATTGATGTGATGCATTAGAGCTTGATTCAATTCTTGATCTTTGCCCTTAAGATTCACGTTATGACTCTAGGCCCACCTTTTAATGAACAACTAGGAATGCTCCTTGCAGAAAGCTTTTTCTGATACCAAAATATAGACTAGTGAAGTCCCATATAGATGCTTTGCACCAGCTACACTTACCAGTCTGAGAAATAATATAGTGAAACATGTTGCAAGCTTTATATGCAGAGGATAGTCAATTATTAATGTTGGCCTAATTCATACTATGGACTAAACTGGAACAATAGAAACTGATGACTCGTTGATGGGTGTGTTATTTAGCAGCTGCATGGTTATCTTTTTGCAGTTTGACCTTGCAACTTGGTATTCATGTTGTCATTGACTTCAAGCTGCTCATTTAGCATTCTTGTGCTCACAGACACAAAACGACAATTTGTTGGATAGAAGCAAAATCTTGAAGGGAACCTACAATCATTCTTGGTCCAAATTGTCTTGTTTAAGAGTCAAACATCCAGAATCTTCTTTAAATCTTAGCATGCATGGCATTAGAGAGTCAAATGGGAGTAATGTAAATTGCATGAAGTTGGCTACTTTAGCAAGCTTGCTGTGTGAGATGATAATAGTTTCTCAGGTCGTCGTCTAAAAGGGATTTGCTCTCGGCTTAATTTATCTCAAAGATGAAGACTGTAATTACTTAATGTGTGATCTTTGCATATGACTATGTTTTGTTTTGGCACCATCCTGGATCCTGTATATGCTGATACCTGGATTTGTGTTTATGTTGCAGCCCTTTTACTGCTGGTAGATACCACAGCCTTGTGATTGACAAGGAAAGTTTTCCTAGTGACAAACTTGAGATAACTGCTTGGACGGAAGATGGACTCATTATGGCTGCTCGTCACAAAATATATAAGCATCTCCAGGTGAGGAGTTTACTTCCCGGCCTTCCTAAACATGTTCCAAGAACACATCTCATGCATGAAACATTCACACATTGGGATAAAGATGTATTGTGCATGCAGCGGAGAGGCATTCTTTTGACCCAACTCCCACAAATGGTCCATCAAATTCAGCAGGTTTAATCTGTGCATGTTTGAATTTTAAAAATTAGGAACCGTAATGGACTATATTAAATAATTAAAATTAGTAAGACGTTGGAGTTGGAAACTTCAAGTTGATGGGACTATAAATATAAGATCTCCAACGTACTTCTCAGCTAAGTAACTTAGTGGAATATCTATAGAAGTTCGTTTACCAGTTTGCCGTGGCCACGGGGTATTAGAGCGATACAAGTTCTGTTATTCCATTATTTCTTTTTGTTGGAAACTGATTTTAAATCTGATGCTGGATAGTTTAATTATATATTGATTTTAGAGGAGAATAGTAGAAGATCCTATTAATAAAAGGTAAGTGAATTTCCAAAACTTGGATACCCTACCTCTCTGAGGAATGGGAAGTAAGAATCAGAACTGGCTCTAACGTTTCGAATTTATCGAACATATTGATGCAGCCACCACTTGTAAAAGTTAGAGAGGAAAGCCTTCATTGCAATTGATCTTTTTAGCAACTTTGCTCAAGAAGCTGGCTCCTGGCTACCTGGCAAATTATTTTAGAGCTCACTGGCTGAATTTGATCTTTTCATTTTGCTAAGTGATGTGCTTTCAAAAGACCCCAAAAGACATATTTGACCTGACCTGATTGCAAATGTCTGATTTCATAAAAATCCTTGACCTTTAGCAATTCCGTAGTTTTCTTCTCTTCAATATTCTTTTTTATATTTTTAATTCTTCAAATGCAAACCTCCTCCTGTCCCTTTCTCTGTTGCAAGTCTCTTCCCCCCCCCCCCCGAGAAAACATTGCTACAGATCTTTTGTAACGGCTTTCTTTCCTGCACTGCCATCATCCTTCTTCTCCTCTTTCTGCACTGTGGCTTTGTGGTAAATGCCTTCAGGACATCTGATTCTCCCCATATGGCAGATTCTGATACACACACACATGTATGTATGTATGATGCATGCATGCATTTATTTTTATCTTTCACACACGTGGGTTTGGGTACTTGTAAGATTTAGAGTTTTTTTTTTGTTTTTGGTTATCGTATTCGTCTGGTTTTGTATGTGTGCATGTATTCTGTGTTGGGTAAATTGAGATAAATAGCTAGGTAGATCAGGTGGGAAAAAGAAAATGGGGAAGGATACTGCTTACTCAGGCCGTGAACAATATTTTAAAGTCAAATCCTACATTATGTGTCCTGAGGCAATGAATAAGGAAAGAGTTGCAGTTGTTTTCATTTAATCCTCAAAAAGATGGTGTCATGTTTGTCATCTTGGAACTTTTAGGAGATTTTCAGTAATCAGATGATTCAGTTTTCTGTCAACCCTGAATTCTATTCTGTCAATGATGAACAAGATTTTCAAGGTACTTTCATCAAAACAACCCATGAATGGTGCTGTTTCAAGGATGTGCTAGTGTTTCTGAAGGCCATTTGAGCAAGTTAAACTACTTAAAAATTTTCGTCTTTTTTGGAAAGCACTTGTCTTTTGAGGGAAAAAAAAAAGTCAAAGGAATGTGAGTCGTAAAGGAAGATAAAATCGGTTGGATAATTTTATAATATTGCTTTGATTTTATAATATTTATATTGATTTTATAATATTGGCATTGTTGTTATTGACTAACAATCAAAGGTGATAAGTGAAAGAAAGTAAATGTTAAGGGCTAAAGTGAAAATTATGCTTTATTGGGATTTAACATGATCAACTTCACGTTTTGCTTTTGTCTGAAAAGGCAAAAGTGAACTTCTGGTTATATAATTACATTAGCGTATAATGTGGTAAAAAAAGCATTTCAACTTTAGAAGATGAACATTCTGCAGAATTGACTACCTTCCATAATGTTAGGTTCCTGTTAGATGTATCCCGTGCATAACGCATCTCATCAGGGTTGTTAAAGGTATGATGCTAAAAATTGCAGTTAAAAGTATGATCCATTAAATAAAGGTAACCGACTAGGCGAGACTAGGCCTCAGGATGGTCAACTTTTTCGTATTTTCTGAGTTAGTTAACTTTCTTGGTTATAGTAGTCAGAGATGTGTAGGAGTTCATTCCTGTGGAGGTTCTTTTAATAGGTTTGTTATGCTTGAAAGTACAGAAGTTCATGTTGTCTGTCAAGACACTGAATCTAGAGGATAAGCTTCTCTTTTAATTTTTCATCAGATTTGCATCTCTTACAAGATTTTTATCTTGTTTTACTGTTCAACCTGATGTTTTGCTTACTTCATGATGCAGGGAGTGCAGTTCCACCCAGAGAGCATCATAACAGATGAAGGCAAAACAATAGTTCGTAATTTCATCAAGATGATTGAGAGAAAGGAAGCTGAATCTGAGGAATGAACAGTTATAATTAATCTTGTCAAAGCATCATGTTCAGGGAATTCATAAATTCTCAAGACTAGATATTGCAAGTTATTTGTTTGTTTTCTTTTTGGAATAGAATTTAAAAAACCTCACTGGGCTCTCCTACTCTTTTAACACTGTGTGGATATAGAATTGCTGCTGCATACTTTTCTACAAGGCTAAAACGCCTTGTGTAATATTGTTAGGAGTTAGGACTGTTTTTTCTGTTTTTTTTTTTTTTTATGTTGTGTATATAGAAAATGGCAATTGTTTTTCAAGTTCTGGCAATGCATGACTGACTTTTGTGATAGAGCTAGTTATGATTTTACAAATTTGCAATGCAATACCAGAAAATAGAGTAAAACCGAGACTCACATAAGTGTTCTTTTTTAATATTTTTTAATATTTAACCTGCCCTTTTAATTTATACATTGCATATTAATTAGTTTATGCTACTAGATCTTGAGTTTTTCCATTATTACATTCATGGTACCAAATATTTTTAGAATGTCTTCAATAGTTTGTCTAATGGCTATGGGTGCAAAATGTGCATTGGTTGGGGGAAAAAGAGAGGGGGGAGGGGGGGGGGGTTCAAGTTTAACTATTTAAAAAGTAAGGGTTTTTTTAATAGATGTCTAATAAGCAATACTTAACACACTTATATTTCATTCAATCTTATTATTTATACACACGTTAACAATTACTATCTTCGCTTTTATTTATATACCTTTTCTAATTAATTTCCTTGCATTTATACACTTTTTCTAATTAATTTTAATTTTCTAAAAATCTAACATCTGAAATGTATTTTAAGAGTGTTCAATAAACACTTGTTAGAGAGACCTAAATTGTAAAATTATATTAGGAAATATCTAAAATCAAGAGGTAATAGATGGACCGCATGCACTTGAGAGTGCAAAATTTTTCATGCTGTAAGGACCAAAGAGGAAATAGATGGACCGCATGCACCCGAGTAAGGATCAAGTTGCAGCATTTTGAAGTTGAAGGACGGAAGTGCAATTTCCAAAAGTTCAGTTAACCGTCCCTTTGTGAAACTTTTCCCAAGGCACTTACCATTTGTCTCCGCAGCTTCAGCTGTCACAATCCCTGATTCATCGGATTCCAATATTTACCACATCAGAAAAATTGTCCTCAGACCATATGACAGAGCCTAGAATTCAATGGCTAAACAGACCAAATGGGCTTTTATATTTTGGATTATCATACACAAAGAATCATGCTTATAATACAAACATTCTACTGTACTTTCATGGATACATATCATTTTTTTCCCCATAAACAATACCCCTTTAAAAATTGGAATCCTATACCTCCATCAAGGCATTAACCCCACCACAAGTTTCTATATAATAATAACTCCATCTATTAAATATGTTTATTGGAACATATGACAATGGGAATTATAATACATAGCTGCAGACAATAATACATCAACAAGGACATGGCTGGGAACCTCAAGGTATGAAATATATACATGCCCCTTGATGATCAATGGCTAGTATAAAAATCTTATCACCCTCTGTAAAACAATCTGTGGACTTCTCATTTTATCTTCTCATCCTTTTTTTTTTTTTTGGTTTCTTGGGGTGGTATGCACAGGGAAAGAACATTAATCAAGACTCAGAAAAGGTGTGACAGTACAAATGTAGGATATAACAACATCCACAACACATTCATTCTTATGTAGAGGATGCCTCTCCCTGACTTGATGATGATGATCTGCTCCGGTGGTGCCGCTTACCCCGGTGACGGTGAACTCCTTGGAAAGTAACGGGGTCGAATGCACGGAGGCCCTCGGCTTCCTTAGCATCTAGGACACATTCAGCTGGAGGGACCGTATATCGAGCACGGTCGTAGCAGTATGAGTATTGCATATGCTTCTTCCTGAAGTTCTGCATTCTAATTCTTTGTTCAGGTGTGATACCAGTAGGGATTGAATCATGTTTTGGAGCAATGTCACACTTTGTTGCCTGCTCAGTAGGATCAACTGCACAGCCATGGAGCACGAGGTCGGAGAATTTTGCAATGTATGGGGCATATTTGTAATTGATTCTGAATTTTCCTCCATTTGTAGCCCAATCGGAACCATCCCATATTGTTGCATACAATGACATAGGCTTGGAAGGGAAGTCCCCACCCATTGTTGCTGTCCTTTTGAACTCTCTTATGGGGACATTATCAACATAAAAGCTGCAACAAAAGAAAATGAGATACCAAAACAAGCAAAACAGGATCAAAGTCTTGATGAAAAGACACCATAAATGTACATTAGCCAGAACAAATCCAACAAGCGTGGTCTCATTGCTTGCTTGCAGCTGCAGGCTCATCTTTGATGTGGGGCAAGAGTTAAAAAAAAAAAAATTTAAGTGCCTGGTGCACGGTAAAAACTTCTCTGTAATGTATCTGGGGATGTTTCTGATTTTATTTGAATTTTTCTTGAAGACAAGCTGTATTGGCCATATAATGCCACTTCTGTTGACCTCAATATGTCCAAAAAGCTCTTAAATAAGCAAGTAAAACATGAAACTACTAGGAAAAGGGAAGAAAACCTTGAAATCTGCAAATTGCATTGCATGGTACAGGGCGTGCAAATATGTAACAACAATGGAAAATCAGGATAGTATTCCAAAAATACAAGAAATAACTGCTAGAATCCTCAAACAAAAAACAGACAAAATTTTGTTCGCAAAACAGCCATAATAGTGAAATTAGACTGTTCGTGACATAGTGTAGTCATCAAGTGAAAATATAATATCGGTAAGAATACTAAAAACTCCACAATATAGGATCCCAAATGCAGATCAACAATATTCAAGTACAGATGGGAAACTTATGGTTACATAATTGTCATTCTCACTTTGATCAGGTTGCTGACTCAGTAACTGCATACAATTAAGTATTGATAACAGAGAGCATAAAATTCCTTTACAGGAGGATCATTACTTCTCATTTACTATTCTTGGTAACGAAAATAAGAAATATGGTCAAATTAAGACTTATCATAACATCTTCAGAACAGGAAATAAACATGGAAAGGATCCCCATAGCATTTCCAAGAAAGGAAAGGCTATAAATATAGATTGAGACATCACAGCAGAAACCCCAAAAACAGTAAAATCAGAACATCAGAGCACATAGAACGCCTCCATCAAAGAATCAGTCAAGTAAAAGCTGTTACAGAGCAAAGTATGCAACCAAAAATAGCAAAATTCAGAGGACAAGAAGGAAACAAATAATGCAGGAATCTTAGATTTTGGGATTCTTACATAATCTGATTCTCAGTCCAGAGGATACTGTACTGATGGAAATCTTCCGAAGGATCAAACCAAAGCCCATATCTTTCTTCTCTGCCAGCGTTTGTGCTACCATTTCCATAAATATTTGTCTGCATCCTCCAGTCTTTACCCCTTATGTTCCCCAAGAACTCAAAATCCACCTCATCATGGTTCTTTTGAAACATGTCACCATTTGACATCTGTCATCCACCAAAAAAAACACAATTCTAGCATTAAAAAGGAAAGAGTTAATCACATTTTATTCCTTAAAAAATACCCTATTTTCAGTTTACCCCCTAACTTTTAATTTGCTCACTTAACCCCCTTTAGGACAAAATTGCCCTTGCATTATTTTGACTTTTCATTTACCTTGTTTTCCTTTCTTTTATTTCTTTTTCTCTTTCTTCTTTATTCTTCCTCTTTCTCACAAAAATTTTTACCTTAATGATTGAAATTAAAAAAGAGAAATTGTAGAGATCTATCTTCTCATTAAATGATTAAAAAAATATTCAAATCACTTTCTTAAAATACAATTTTTTTAGCCATTCAATTCTTTTAATTTTGGGTTTTCCACTTTCCTTTCTAGTTTCTCATTTTATTCCCAAGAAAATATCTTAAGATGAAATTGTGACCTGATTAATAATCATCAATTGAAATTTGTGACACATGGCATCATACAAAAAATCAAAATTAATTTTTGATGCCTTTTAAACCTTCACCTAGAAATTTGCAATTACAAACTCAAAACAAAAATTTTCGTTGAAATGGAATTTCTATTGGAAAGGATGAAAGAGAGAAGAAAGAGAAAAAGAAATAAAAGAAAGGAAAACTGATAGGGTGTTAATTGTTAGTAATTTTATTATTAATTTCCCCTTTTATTCTTGCCAAATATTGTTTTAATTATTAATATTTACTTATATTTGGTATTGGAGTTTAATTTCAGGAACAAAGCAGAAAATTACCAAAAAGGAGGGACTTTTATGGGAATAGGGAGACTTCTAAGAGATTCAATTCTTGGGCCCTTGAATTGGTGGGGGACCACAAGCTAGTGGAAAGCATCTAGTCATTTGGGCTCTTAAAAGAAAGCTACGGGAAGGAGACTTGGAACAAGAAGTACTTGGAGGGCTTTGTCCACATGTGTGGGGACCACCTAGATAGCCTTTAGTCATCTTCCTCTTGTTGCTTAAATAGGGATAACGTAGAGTAGCAGGGACATCTCTAGTTTTAGTTTAGTTTTAGTTTCTTTTCTTTCTTTCCTTAGACTGGCCTCTGACACACGCCAGGTGTTCGACAATATTCTCCAACGGGGAGATTTTCTCATGAGCCGTGGTTAAGCTTTTCTAGTCAAGGGGACAACTGACGATTTGGTTCGACAATTACTGTGAGATCGAATCTGTTTTAATTATTTTCTTCATTTATTGGTATTTATATGTTCCTTGATTTTAATTGCTATGGCCTTGTGTATGATTGATTAGTGCGCAATAATTAATTATTCATATAGGCTATTTTTGCTAAATATGGGTAATTGAATCCGTAATTGTTCGTTATCTCTACCTCAGTAGCAACTGGCGTAATTGGGTTTATGTCAGGGGAGCATATGATCTAATTTAAACAAACCCTCGTAGCGTGTTTGTTGGTTAGGATTGGGCCTTTCTAATTATTAATGCAATCTAGAAATTAAATCTTACGGTCGTACCTAGGGTTATTTTTGGGTTAGAGAAATAGCTAACGGTCGTACCTTAGCTATCGAGAAATTAAGGAAGGGTTGGTTGTTTATCGCGTGCATGACAACTATAACTAATCTACTGCTAAATGTTGGAATTATTTCTGCATCAATGATCAGTGCATGAACCATTTCTGATGTGTACCCTTGGCTAGAGTTTCCCCAATCATTTCTTTTAATTAATTATTTTCTGCAATTAATTTATTTAGTTAGCATTTAATCCAAAACCCCCCATACTTTGGACTCTAGAAGAAACGAATTATCCCCAGTCCCTGTGGATTCGACCCTACTCACCGCTATATACAAAATCTGTATTTTTCTCGAGTAGGTATTTATTATTGCACAGGTTCGGCACCTGTCAATTTTTGGCGCCGTTGCCGGGGACTGGTGCCTGATTAATTTGTTTCTTTTTCAGTTCATCTTGTCTTCATTTTTTTTTATTTATTTTTCTCTTTTTTTTTAATATAGTTTATGGCTGCTAACATTCCATATTTTGATGATAGACTGGACTTTGTTCCTGAATGGGGTTATGAGACTCATGTGTTTCCTAATGATCAATGGGATAGTGCAAATTGTGGAACTTATTTTGACTCATGTTATTCAACTGACACATGCCCCGCATTTCAAGATAATCTAAGTGCTCCAATTGATACTTTTGGAGATTTTTCACCTCAATATCAAATGCAGTATGACCCTTATTCAAACGGGTATGATCAAGGATGGTGGGATAATTCCAATTTTGATTATGCGACCGGGCCAATGGATTTTCAACAGCAAGAGTCTCAACAACCATCGTCCTTGTTAGGTATGTCTTTTCAGGAATTGGGTGAATTATTTATTAATACATACCGATTCCAACAGGAGACACAAATGAGGAATGAGATGATGAAGGATCCAATGAGTTATCTGGCAGATCAACTATGTCTATTGATATCCAAAATGAATCGATTGGCTTCTCAAATGGAAGAATTGTCCTCGGAAATCATTGTTGATTTTGAAGAAAATGAGAGTGCAATTTGCTTGACTAGTGATGAGGAGATGCAAGAGTGTAAAAATGAAAAATCTACAGATGCAGTTGAAAAAGAAGCCGAAAATGAAGAAATGGAACCCCAACCGCAACCCATTCAAGTGAATGAATCCAGTGAACAATCTCCAAATGCGGTGACATCTTCTCCACTCCTTAATCAATATTTTCCTGACTCCTATTCTTCAATTCCTGTTACTGAAATTGATTTTATTATACCAGAAAATTTGAAATTTCATGACAGGAATAAGTTAAGAGTGGCAATGGAAAAATATCTTGAACCGAAGAATGCATGTGATGGAGGAGTGAATGGAGAATGCAAATTATCGTTGACTTGTTTAGCACCATTTACTAGTCCATGGAAGCCCGTAGCTCGTGTGCTCAAAGATTACTCCATCTATGAGGGTTACCAGGATCATATTGAAGATGAAGCATTGAAGCGAGCCACAAGATTTTATCCTCCATGAACAAGACATAACAATGTCTAGCCAAAGACATTAAAGAAGGGCGCTTTTTGGGAGGCAACCCAAATATTGGTTTTATTATTTTTAGTTGTTCAATTCTTTCGTTCTGTTGTTTCTCATTTGGATAGTAGTTGGTCTTGATATTTTTCTCCACTGTGATCAGGAAGTGAAATCTTGGCGTGCCCACGCGGTGTTTAGGTCTCCTGAGATCAGAGGACGAACACCAATCTTGGCGTGCCCACGCGGTGTTTGGGTCTCCTGAGATCAGAGGACGAACACCAATCTTGGCGTGCCCACGCGGTGTTTGACGACCCAAAACATGAAAAAAAAAAGTTTCAAAATTTCACATTGAGAAAATTCAAAAATTCAAAAGGCATTCTTCTTTTTCTTCAAAAATTCAAATTTTGGAATTTCAAATTCAGGAAAAAAATTTGAAAAAAAAAACTATTTTTTTCCTCTTTTCTTTTTCTCTCTTTTTCTTTTTCTCTTTTTTCTTTTCTTCTTTTTTCTTTCTTTCTTTTTCTTTCTTCCTTCTTCCCCGCAGCTGTCCCTCTTCCCCTTTTCCTTTCTTCTTCACCCACCTCCCTGGTCAACGCCGCCGCCCCTGCTTCCTCTGCTCTCTCTCCCTGCCACAATCTCGCACAGCCGCACGCCCAAGCGCGACCATTGCGCCGCCGCTTTCTCAGACGCTGCGCCTCCCTCCAGTTCGCTCCCACCTCTGCAGCAGCACCCGGCTCTTCCTCTATTGCCGCACGTCTCGCTCCGCCGCCGTCGCTGCTGTCCCCCATCTCCCTGCCGCGCGCCTCCACCAGCTCGCTCAACCTTCACCAGCTCTCCCTCTCTCCTCTGCCTTGCCATGTCCAACGCCGCCAGCGCTCCTTCTTCCTCTCCCGCAGCGGCGCTCGTCCAGCCCACGACGAGCTCATCTCCACTTCGCCGCTCAGCCACCTTTCGCTGTTGTCCGCCCCACCTCGCGAGCCCACAGCCGCGAGACTGCCATCCTCAGCCTCTCCACTTAGCTCCACTCATGCGCCGCTGCTACCATCAAGCACCACCCACCTCGCGCAACCCCAAGGTCGCCGCCTCTCCTTCGCTGCGCCATCGCTTCTTGTAGGCGTCCAGGTGTCGGTATTTAGTCTTCCCAACCCTTAATATCGATTTTACTATCTCGCTTGCATGGGTAACCCTTGCAATTCACCGAAGTCTACTTTGCTGCTCTCTAATTGTTTTAATTGCCATCATCTGTGGGGCATAATTTATGTGGTTACCATTTTCATTACTTATCGATTGTGGGTGAACTAAATTGAATTATTGGGGACAGTTTGCCGAGTGGTTCAAATTGCTATATTCACATTGGACAGTTTGCTGGAGTTGCCAATTTCTGTGGTCATTGGCGTTTTAGTGGGTTGACATATGTAATTGACTGTCCGATTGGGGACATTTGTTGAGATTTTGGGTGGAATTGTGTCTAATTGCTGAAATTTGCTGATTTGTTTAGACACTAGCACTGCTTATAGTTTGCTCGAGTGAAATTGGTTGGACATCCCTTGCCCGTGGAGTGTAACTGTTACATTGTTTGGGGCAGTTTTTTTGGTATTGATTGAATTGTTGGGCGTAAATTGCTCAGGACTTTACATTGCTAATTTGGTGGGCCATTTATTGTGCATTACCCTTTTGAATTGGGAGATACCTGTGCTTATTGGGTTTTGACTACTTGAGATTTCTGTTGCATCTGGGGGATAAATTTGATGACTTTCGTGCCAGTTTATTTGTTTGGAAATTGTTGGGGGTAATTTGGGAGTTACGTGTCAATTGGGTCCCGTGTTACCCTCTGCCATTCAGTGGTACTGAGTGGTGTGTTTGGCGTTATCACATGTCTTGGGTTGGCCATTTGATTTCAATTTTCCTTATGCATGCACCAGTGGTACTGGTGAGGGTAGTTTACATAATATTTGTTACTCCTGTGTTATTGGTTGCCTAATCGACTAC